AATGTGAAATATTTGTTATACAATATCTTCTTAAATCAAATATCTTCTTGAAACTTTTGCTATACAAACTGCGTCATTGTAAAAAGAAAAATTATGATTTGAAAACGGAAATACTCATAGCATTTATTTAAAAATTAGTTTTCATGAAAATAAAATAAATCCGAAACCTAGTTTTGGCTTCTGTATTGAAAGTAACGGTTCAATGCCGGTGTTCTACTGGACATTAAAATAACTTTACGTCTGTATACATTTGTATAATAGTAAATAGAATGAAATGGGTATTAGGAATAATAATAATAGAAATAATAAGAGAAATAGACATTAAAATAACTTTTTAACTTTATAATAGTAAATGGCATGAAATGGATAATAGGAATAGGATGTTCATTGCAATTGAAGGGTATAAAGCTCATAAACTGTATTTCTAAATCTTTTGTTTCTGATCCTTAAAATGAATACAAATGCATTTTTAAACACGTAAATTTAATTACAATTATAACTCTTAAGTTGTTTAGTGCTTACCTGGATAATTTAATGAATGATATTTTTTAATTAAATATTCTATGCATAAACTCTTGTTTACAATATTAAAAGATGGAAATAACAATAATGAAAGTACGAAAGCTCAAATTTTGAGAAAAGAAAATGCGTATATTTCTCTATTATTGACTTTAAAGTAAAATTTTATAATAAAATAGCAAAGCAAATGCATAAAAGTAGTACTGTAAATTTTTTCTGATTATTTCTTAACAAAAACATTGTATTCAATTCTACTCAGGTTGCAATATAGAAAAATAATTATAAACATTGAAATTTAATTATAAAAGAACCTAAAAGAAAAAATGACATTTAAAGAAAAATAAAACAATTGTTAAACGTAAAAAGTAATAAAATTTATTAAATGTATACATTTTTGTTTTTTTGATATGAACCATTTTCCAAGAAAAGACATTATGTAAATGCGATGTAATTTCGTATTTCTGCTGAACCAGGACAAAATGTACTTGTTTTAATAAAATGACATTTTCAAAGAAAAAGAAATGTTTTTTCCAGGAAAATTAATTTGTTATTCCATGGACAAAAAAATATCAGTTATTTGTGCTTTTTAAGCCTTTAAAAAATATGGTAAATATAATATCAGATGTTTTTGACATTTTGCATCACCGCATTTATTAAAAAAAATGGATAACACGTGTTTGGTATAATATCAGATTTAAGCACATATAAGGAATGTTTAGCATCTTGAAATTGAATTTGGAATAATCATATTTCGCTTCTGCGTCTTTTCGTTTATGTTTGAAAGAAACAAGTTACATGAGTTGATATATTCTGAGTAAAATTAAATTTTATATTATAGAAATTTGCATATTAAAAAGTAATATAATAAGGTACTAAGGCGAGCTTTAAAAGCTTGAAAGTTCTTCAATTTTCCTCAATTGCCGAATGAGGCATGAGAATGTTTATAATAATATTATTTGTATTTGGCAGCTAATGAAAAAAGTCTGATTGGAATAACTTTAAAATTTAAAAAATTTCAAGGAAATGTTATTTTTAATCCTAATATTATTTTGCATCCTAAGACAAAGTTAAAACAAATATTAATACCTTACAGTAAACGTTCATACACCGAAATATGGTTGTTTAAGAAAAGAAAAAAAAATTGAAAGAAAAGATACTTTTATTTGCAGTGATCTCCAACAATGTTCCGCGTTTATTTTATTTATGATCCTGGAAACTTCTAAAAGCTTTAAGCCTCAATGATAAGTTCGAGAAATCGTATGACCTAAACATTTCTACATTTGTGAAACGATTCTCTAAATATTAATTGAGAATCTTAAAAAAATGCTTTATATATATATATATATATATGTATATACACGTAAGTTTTCCANTATATATATATATATATACGAGTGTGTGTTGACAAGAGCCGGCAATCTAGGAGACACACGGGCAATTCCACCTTCTAACCGAGGACGTTCTCGGTTAGAAAATGGTATTTTCGGACTCAGGGGGTCATGAAATAGTCCCAGAAATTTCTCTAGCAAAATCAAATTTTGTCCTTGACTGTCAGCTATCAACGCTGTGTATAAAGAGCCGAGTCGAAGTGTGTATGCGTGCAAAAACGACGTCCTCGGTTGGTCAATAAAACCACACGTTCAGCGGGGGTCCTCGTTTGCACTGAGAAACGGCCTACTCGGAAACACCCACCCCGGTCTTTTTCGTATTTAGCGAATAAGCTTGAAACAAATTAAGGAAATGCTTAAACATATTTACATACGACGTTAACAGACATTTTTATTGCTTAAATGTGCACTTCATAACAAAAAAATCGACGCACCAAGAAGCAATCATCCGATTGTTTCTTGGTGCCAGATTACAGTGGTGCATGGCTCGATCAGGCATGAATGATGCCAACTGGGGACGTATAGTCTTTAGCGACAAATCCCGCTTCCAACTGTGTCCTGACGATCATTGAAGACGTGTTTGGAGACGCACAGGGCAGAGGGGGGATCCTGCCTTCACTATTGCACGCCACACCGGCCCTCAACAAGGCATTATGGTCAGGGATGCCATTTCCTTTGACAGCCGGATCCCTTTGGTCGTCATTAGAGGTACACTTAATGCACAGCGGTGCGTCGACGACGTCCTAAGACCTGTTTTGCTACCGTCAAGTGGGGCTACTTCGTGCAAATTTGAATTTGGCACTTTTGAAGTGCTGTTATTCAGTATTATGTTTTTTTCACGTTGAAAATGAGTGGAATTTGAAGATAGAAGTCTCCTCTGTTTCTGCAAACATTTTTTGGAATTTCAAAACAATCTCAGAGTGTGTTTTGTTCATCCAATGTTAACTACTCTCCGAGAACATCGGACGTCGAAAAGTGAGCGTGGAAACTTTAGTTGCGAAATGCAAAGACGTTGATAAAACAATTGTAGTAAGTGCAAATTTTTTTATTTATTCATTAATAAGCAATTATATCATGTTAGTGCAAAAAAAAAAATTAAAATTAATAACAAATAAACGGAAAATGAAAAAAATCCACTGTGGGGCTACTTTGTGCAAAGTTTCATTCATTTTTTTTTTTTCGGCAGAAACATTGTCAGACGTTATAAAAAAATACCTCGAGAGAGAAATTACCGTGATTACACTTTAGAAAAGCTGCAACAATGTTTGCAAGCAGTTGCTGGTGGTATGTGGATTGCAGAAGCTTCTCGGAAGTACGAAATCTACTGAAATACTATCTCTAATGAAATTCACAAGAAGCACGTGAAACGTGATGGTAAACTATTATTTTTCTTCTACAAAGGTTTTCTAATGAATTAATCAAACGATTTAGCACATAAAAATATATTTTATAGGACATCAGGTGATTTTGACAGAAACTGAAGAGCAAGTTCTGTTGTGTTCATTCAAGCATGTTATGTTCAAATTTATAAATATTATAAATGTTAATAAATATGTAATAATTATTATTTTTGAAATTTCATCCATTTCAATGTTCAAAAATGTATATGGTTTCCTTTAGTTTAAACTCTAATGTTTTGAAATAAATATTCTTTTTAAGAAAAAATTCTTTATAAAAAATGGTTTTTTAGCGCTGAAAATTATTTTCAAACTAATATCTTTACATATCTTGAAGTTATTGTTATTAAAAATGTCAATAATTAACTTTTTTAACAATTTTACATCAATATTTTACTATAAACATGATTTTTAAACTGAATTCGTGTGGTGGCTAGTATCCAGGTTAGAGACTTGTCAACACCTTATTGAGTTTGTTACTGTAACTCTGCAATAAATTATTCAATTGATCTGAAATTTTAATCATTTACTATTCAGTGCATTGTCTTCCTATCCACCATTTTTCGTTTTAATCGGACAACCCCTTCTTGGTGCGTCGATTTTTTTGTTACAGAGTGTATATGAAAGTTCATTAGTTAATGCATAGGAATAAATAATAATTGTTCCTATTTGAAAAATTATCACACCTATATTTTAGTTACTTTTTTAATATGTAAGAAATGCATAGAAAATTTTCCGCACTATTTTAAGAGAAATTAATGATTTTCTTTACTTTTATTTTACTGAAGGTGCTTGTATGTTTGTAAAGAAGAATATGTTAATGAAAAACAATACTGCTATCTGGTCATTATTAATTAAAATATAGTGATTTAAGTTTAAATTGTTGAAAATCTCTCCTTTTTTTCATTTCTTTAAGTTTGACATGAATTACTTTTTTTAAAAAGGCGGCTTTTTCGAAATTCGCCTTATACATATTTTAATACTTACACACTCTTTAAAGAAAACTATTTTTATTACTCTTTCTCACATGATAAGACTTCTTTTAATAAATTGTAATCAAATGACTGTAATTTCGTTGATAAAGTAATCTAGTGATTACATTAGAAGCTTTTAAAATTTAATATCTGACATTTTTTTAGACAATTAAAATTAAACATATTTTGTAATTAAATTTAATAAATTGCTTTCTGATAGAACATGACACTGCAGTTTAAAATATTAGACAAATTATCGAACATTAGCTATATCATCCAAGTTGGGAAATCATTTTTTTAAATCAGAAAATCTATATATTTTTTATTCGAACGATAAAATTTTCAGATAAAAAAAAATTGACCACACGAATAGACACTAAGATCAACATACGATTAACTTTTGACTTTCGCCATTCTTTTTTCTAATTGCTCCACTGTGGGATACGCAGACTCCTGGTTAAGAATATTAGACTACAATTAAATTGCAATGATTAATGCTGATCCTATATGAAAAATTCACCAAGCCCTCCAGAGTGAACCCAGAATAAACCTAATTTTAGAATCAGTGCAAATATTTTATCCTACATCCGCTGTGCCAGTTTCAGGACCCTAGCACAAACGGATCTGAAGTTTAAGAGAGGCGCACACAAACACGCAAACGCTTTATTTCACTAACATATAAATATGTTTTGTTTTGATAGGACCAAATAAAAACAAATCTGTTCATTTCTTATTTAATTTTTATTCAACATTGAATAACACTGTTGGTATGCAGTTTAACATGTTGATTCCCTTTCAGTAAATCCAAAACCTGAAAAAAAATTTACAATAAAAAAAATTCTTTTGAATTGGAACTTACATAAATAAGTTTGTCTTAAATTGGAATTTAATTGGAAATGTGGGCTATAAAAATGTCCTTACCCGTTCTTACTTGTCGACTACGACCTCTCACATCTGTTATTATCCTACAAGATTAAATGATTATTTCAAATAAGCATTTTCTAATATAATGAAAAAATCAATTATGTAATATAAGTTGAATAATTGAATTCCTTAACTGAATCTCAGATTCAACTTTAAAAAACTGTAACTAAAAGTTTAATATAAAATTTAATTTCAAAGTTTTTATTCGATTAATTTATTCAAGAATTGATTTCTAAAATGCATTATAAATTTCATTTCAAACTAAATTTTTCGTAATATGTTAGTACTGTAAGTTAAAGCTTACAATTCTATTAAAAATTTTTAAAAAAATTATTTTTTATATTTGTTTGTATATTTTTTATATTTTGATAAAATTGATTTTTAAATAATTGATTTCAACTTACAAGACAGATCAGACCAGCTTTGCAAGGACAAGCCATGGTGTAATATTCGTCACTGTTTGGTTGTTCACAGAGTTCACCTGAATATTTAAAAATGGAATTACAATAATTTTAAAAATATATGTTTGTAGCTTGTTACTAAACAAAAATTATAATCAAATTTATAAATTTTTATTACTCTCAGAAAATGAATAAATGCAACTGATAGATTTAGAGCAGTTCAGTTGCAAGATCGTCACTAGACTTTTCGACCTTTTTACTATTTTATTTCCTTGATGCCCCAAGGAAAATGAATCACTTAAAAATGAATAAATGCAACTAACAGATTTAAAGTAATTCAAATGTAAGAGAGTCACTAGACTTTGCGACCCTTCTAGTGTTTTACTTCTGTGGTGCTGATGTCCCTAGAAAAATTAATCATCTAAAAAAATGAATAAATGTAACTGATAGATATAGAGCAGTTCTGTTGCAAGATCGTCACTAGACATTGCAGCCCTTTCATTATTTTATTTCTGTGGTGCACCAAGGAAAATGAATCACTTGAGAAAATGAATATATGTAACTGATAGATATAGAGCAGTTCACGATAAAGAGCATCACTAGACTTTACGACCCTTTTAATGTTTCACTTCATTCTGTCATTGCGTTCTATTATTGAGATAAGTATAAGCATTATAATTATAAGCATATATTATTGAGATAAATATGGTTTCTCTTTTCGATTTTCATCCTTAGAAACTTACAACTTGATTTTATAAACCATCAATAATATTTTATAGGGGTTCTTTTAATATCCCATTTCCCTTGCACCCCTAGGAAAGCAATTTCTTAAGTCCCTCCCTTATTCACTACCCATTGAAATAAATGTAGTTTTACTACTTTTCTAGTTTTGTTCCTAGCCTTTTATTTTTCGTTGGTTTATCCTGCGAATATTGTACTGATTCATTTAATGTAGACATTATTAAGGATCCCTAGCAATGTGGAATTCTGCGTTGAAGGAACGTGCTTAAATTGCCATTTAAAGACGTTTAAATAAGTCTTTTTTTTCTGAACCTACAATTTTGAATATAATGAAGTTTATCCTTTTACTAAGGTCCCTTAGAAATGTAGAAACTACTGTCTTCTTTTCTATTTCATTTATACAAAAAAACTGAAATAATATTTGTAAATTTCCATACAAGCAATAAACTTATCAAGAAAAAAATAGATAATTATTAAAAATTAAAATTTGCAGTTAAAGAAATGAAATGAAATTTTTATCTCAGCTTTCAGGTACAAGTCAATCAACTGATTCGACTTGAAGTTCGTTTATAAACTTCGTTTATTCCTTTGACGGTTTCTTTTTTATCTTTTCATTCTAACTCCCTATTACAACAAAATGTGTAATGCGGTATTTACAGAAAAAAAATATTTTTTCATTCTGAGAAACCTTGACATGTACTTGATTCATTCGGTAAATTGAACAATTCGGTTAATCAGCATCTGGATGAATGGCACTTTACTGTACTAACCTTCTCCAGCCAAAAAACAAAAACAAAAAACAAAATATCCACAAAATCTGTGGAAAGATGATCCTGTACAGCATTGGCCTTCTCCGCAAGGGGACTTACCGCAGTATTCAACGGCAACAGCTATCTCCACCTATAATTGATATTAAAACAAAATATCACTTATAAATATTGTAGTTCAGTATATGTTGCAAGATTGAAGAATCGGAGTTGAAAAGTCGGAGTCGAAAAATGGTTTTAATGAAATCGGTGTTGGAAAAACTTTTTCGACTCCAACTCCGGTTAGCTTAAAGTTAGGTCTTAATAAAATAAAAATTTTGATCTTATAAAGATTATTCAGGCAAATATTTATAAGTATGCAAACAAAAGTATTGCTCAAATTTATATTGTAACAAATATTTAAATCATAACTTACACAGTGAAAAATTTTAGTGTATCTCCACACCAAAAATGGTGTCAACCCCTTCTTACACCAATAAACTTTTGCACCACTTTATGTAAAAATAGCCGTCAACAATTTAGTTGCTCAATAACTTTTAAAATTTATAAATACCGTAAGATACACGTAAGATTCAATAGAGTTATTTTTACAATAGAATATAAAGTACGAACCATAAGTTTGGAATGCATATATACACAAATTCTTAAAAAAAAATTAGTTTGCAAATCAAGCTATGCGCATCACAGAGAAAATCCAATACGAATTAGAACTAGGCTTAACAAAACGGAAGCGGATAGAAATTACACATTACGAAGTCACTTAATACTGCTTTCAGAGATTTAAAAATCAAATAATAATTATCCTTATTGCCTAACTAAAAACATACCTACATATTTAAAAGCGAACTTTTATATCTGTTGATAACCATAACAAATTCAGGCTTCTTCATTCCAGATTGTAAACAAACCACTCGCAATATTCTACTGCCGTCTGTTGATATTCAAAGATCGCCAACATTGGTGACTTCGTGCATGTTGTAAAAAGATGAGAGTTAGGTGCAAGATTGCTCAATTTTGGGTGTTTTAATTTAAATTCAATCGGCCCGATTTGGTATTTACCCGGAATAAAGTGTTCCTTCACACAAATTTTCAGGTTGTTTAATATCATATGCGAAAAGATGTTGGACCACAGTTTTCACAGTGTATCTGTTACCGTTAAAGTATATAATGCAGTTATTTCATAGAATACCTAGTTATTCCATGAAATAACTGATCGTGTCCGTTAAAGTGTGTAATATGTTATTAATTTGACACTTTAACTAGTTATTCTATGAAATAACTAGGTATTCTATAAATTAACTAATGAGAGACAATTAAAATGAAACAGAAGCAATTTATCTAATTTATGCAGCGTATAAATAGTATTTATGGAAACGTACCATAAAATCATTTGTTACAACAAGGATTACTGAAATGACATTGAAATTACAAAGAACATTATCTCTAAAACAAAAAAAAATTTGTTGACACACTGGGTTTTGCACGAACATTTTTTAAATCCCTGACCAGTACCTAAACTTAGAGCTGTAGCAACCGACCGGAGCGATATTTCTACATCCGGTACTTCTTCGATTTTAATTCATTTTTGTTCGCAGACACTGAACTGGAATGGGGAATATAATTGTTTTATGCAGCCGTTTCTTGTGCCCAATTGGAAAAATCCTTCTTCGGTTATTTTTATGATGATAGCTAAAATAGATTTGGCATCACCTTTTCCTCTGTCAACTTCAGGCACTGGGATAGGGATAGTAAACCCCACAAAAACCCCACTATTTTACACTTTAACGGGCTGCAGATCGTTATTCTATGAAATAACTAGTTAAACCATGAAATACAAGAGAGTTTTACACTTTAACGGACACAATCAGTTATTTCATGGAATAACTAGGTATTCTATAAAATAACGGCTTTCATACTTTAACGGTAACATATCAAACATTTAATTTATCATACCTGAATGTTTTTGAGCTTATATATGATCAAGCTACAGAAAAATAATAATAATATTTCCATAATAATAATAAATTTCAATTCAGAATTGTGTATCTTACTTGAAAGGTTTATTTAAATGAACTCTATGCATCATTTGTAATAGTTTGATGGTTTATTTTTCTAATAAGATGTTCCCAAATATAGGTAGGTAAGCGTCAGATATTGATATCTATCTCTTTTCTTACAGTACGAAGGTGTTATGTTAAGTCTATTTCCTTAACCGTTACATTAAATGTACTTTTAAATAAAACACCTTTAATCCTAATCATGCTTATATAAATTGAAATTAATATTTAAGTCGAAATAATATTTCCCGAAATTTTGGAGAAATCTTCAATAGAGTATAAGTCGAAGTCGAGCTCTCAGAGTAGTCTTCTGAGTTGAAAATTTCAACAATCAACCTCATGGCTCCGATATATGATCAATACTCTTAATTAGTCAGTTTGCTGAAAGTGGTTAAGCATTTTATACAATCCAAAAGAGTATTTTAAAGCCATATTTCTATTTATGCCTATACTTTATTCTACCTGTACTATTTTCTACTTACACCTATTCTAGCGCTATTTGGAGCTACATGAAACTGTTTTATGTTTTGTGAATGCTATTTTATTTAATGTTAAATTATTCAAAACTCAACAACGTCAAAAATGTACTAATTTTAAGCAATAATTTAAAACAATTAGAAAAATCCAATTAAATTTAATTAAGTTAATGTTTTTTATTTTTCTATTTTATCGCATTCGTAAGTTTTTTTTTCTACGAAGCTGCGCATTTTTATGTAAATATCGAATTTTCTGGCAATGCTTGAGCCTCGTGTCTGAGGAGAGGACCAAATTTATGATCCTGACTTTAAAATTAGGAAAAAAATTAAAGAATGTAAAAAATTTGAAAAAGACTAAATAAAAGCATTCCCAGAAAATCTCTTTTCTTTTCAAAATATTTCTGAGTACCTCGTTTCACCAAACTTTGTGATTAAAGAAAAAAGATAGTTTTTTTTCCTCCAATGCCTACCTGGATAATGACCTAGGTCACACAGGCACCTAAAGGGCAGATTTGTTGGCCACTCTTTCAAGGGCACTATATTAGGTGAGCCAACGTTGCTCCCACAGAAAGGACAGATAGTACAGAGAAGGAAAGAACGTCGATGCCTTGCCCGGGATTCGAACCCAGAACCTTTTTGATGCAAAAGCAGTTCCCTAACCCCCACACAGGCCGGTCGGCGAAAAAGATATGTAAAATTCCTGATATACAAACAAATCTATAAATTTCTAAAATTTCTCCCCTACCTGAAGAAAAATGTAATTTAAAACCTCTCTTATTCTACTAATTATATTTTTAATTTATAATGCATTGTCATATGGAAAAGTTATATTTTACAAACGAAACAAGTTGAATTTGAAACTTAAAAAACAATTCACAAAATTGGAAATTTTCTAAATTTTGTGCATTTGAATTGGCAGTCAAAAATTTAAAACTATAAACGCAATTCAATGTTATTTTTTTCTCTTAAACTAAAGAAAATGCTTTATTTGATTCGATAATTTCCTATTCATGAATCCTAATTTTTGAAGAATTAGTGAAAGTGAATAAATACTCAAAATTTCAGAAAAAAACTGAATTTTAAAAATAGAAAATTCTAAAGATTAAATTAATATCAAAAATATAACAAATATATTAAATATATATGCATAAGAAAATTATTCATATATGTATCCTAATTTAGGAAATACGAACGTATATTACATAATGTTATATACATAATGTAATATAAATGATTATTAATTACAATTACTAAATATTCAACGAATCAAATAACTGCTATTAAAAAAGGTGAAATTTAAAACAGAATAAGCATATAGTAAACTTTACTTACAGCGCAGACTACAAAAATCAAAGCTGCTAGGTATCTCATTTTGTTGAAATCAATTTTTTTCATACACAGATGAAACTAAAATTTTAAAGCCACTGCAGCCCCTATTTATCTGAATGAATTGCAGAATTTAGCTCCTGGTTATGCAACCATTAACATCTGGAACACAACATATTAAAGATTTGACTATCTCTTAAATATCGAATACGTATTTGAATTTATAAATATTCATCATTGTGATTAAAATGTTTCAAAGTCTCAATTTGACATCGATAAGAAACTTTAAAAAAAATTGATAGAATAATGATAAGAAAGTCATAGAATTTAGATCGTTTTTATTAGATACATCATTACGTAAGATTGGTCCTACTTTTACAGGGAGGATCAATCATTTCCCCTTCATTCATCCACAGATCGTAGTTTTGACCTGAGCCAGTGCCCCAAAATATATTGATTTGTTATGGGAGCTTGGAGGACTTTGTAACCCTAACAGATTTAACGTACATCAGTCCCAATTTAATAAAAGGGAATTCTTCGGCCTGCAGGATTATACAAAATAAAAATGAATACACCTTAATAATTCTTGATTTAATGATTTTTTTTTACGTACCGTCATGTGGGGCTACTATGTGCAGGATTTCGCAGTTTTTGTACTTTGACACGTAAAAAAACCATGTTAATTCAAACTTTAGTAAAATTTGGCGATATTATATTCATAACTGGACTCAGACGAGTGAATTTGATCAATGTTGGCATTATTTGTTGTAATATTTACAAATAATAAGTCAAAACATGCCTTGCACAAAGTGGCCCCCAAGTGGGTCTACTTTGTGCAGCGATAGGAATTCAGTTTAATAATCACGTTTTTAGTAAAATATTGATATGAAATTGTTAAAAAAGTTAATTATTGACATTTTTAAAAACAAAAACATCAAGATATGTAAAGATATTAGTTTGAAAATAATTTTCAGCGTTAAAAAACCATTTTTTATGAAGATTTTTTTTCTAAAAAAGAAGGTTTATTTCAAAACATTTGAGTCTTAACAAAAGGAAACCATATGCATTTTTGAACATTGAAATTGATGAAATTTCAAAAATAATAATTATAACATATTCATTAACATCTATAATATTGATAAATTTGGACATAACATGCTTGAAGGAACATGTCGGAACTTGCTCTTCAGTTTCTGTCAAAATCACCTGATGTCCTATAAAATATATTTTTATGTGTTAAATCGTTTGATTAATTTATTAGAAAACTCTTTGTAGAAGAAAAATAATAGTTTACCAGCACGTTTCATGTGTTTCTTGTGAATTTTATTAGAGATAGTATTTCTGTGGATTTTGTACTTCCAAGAAGCTTCTGCAATCGACATACCTCCAGCAACTGCTTGCAAACATTGTTGCAGCTTTTCTTAAGTGTAATCACGGTAGTTCCTCGTTCCAGGTATTTTTTTTTATAACGTCTGACAATTTTTCTGTCGAGAAAAAAACGAATGAAACTTTGCACAAAATAACCCTACTGTGCATTTTTTTTTCATTTTCCGTTTATTTGTTAATAATTTTCAATTTTTTTTAACGCTAACATGATATAATTGTTTATTAATATATAAATAAAAAATTTTGCTCTTACGACAAAAAATGCTAGTAGTAATAGAGGAGACTTCTGTCTTCAAATTCCACACATTTTTAACTGGAAAAAAACATAATACTGAATAGGAACACTTGAAAAGTGCCAAATTCGAATTTGCACAAAGTTGCCCCCGCTGCACGAAGTAGCACCACATGACGGTACTAAGATGCAATCTTAATTATTAGAAGACCTATCCTTAAATGCGCCAAAATATTCTATGGATGGTTGACCTATTCTATGGATAGCTAGGGGTTAATATTTCAGATTATTTTCTTCTGATTTTTAAATTACAGAAAACTCTTGTGAATGGCAAAATTTCGCGTTAATGTGAACTCAAATCACAATAATTTTAACTTCCTAGAATATCGAGCCTATTCACACATCGCCTCGTAAGCGTAATATAGGCGGAGGGATACACGGGAAGTGTCCTATATTTCTCAAGTTTTTAGGATGCTTGTTATTGATTTAAGTTATGAAATCGAACCCAAACTTTCCACGTAAACTTATATTTATTTCAACGGATTTAAGTTCTTAACTCTCAAAACATGGAGAGCAGTCGCAATCAGGAAAATTTAATTTTAATCATAATTTTCCTTTTTGCATATGTCGTCATGTCTCCAGATTTAATATAACAAATATAATAATCTTTAACATAGCTATAGAACAGTGTAAATTCTGTGTAATAATACTTTTTTTAAATATTCATAATTTCCATTATTTAATTTAGTAATAATCGAGAAAAATTCAGTTATAAGGTATAGAAAATTTTACGCTCATTTAATATGCGTAGTTTTAAATGGCGGATTCAAAAACGCTGTTCAAATAGATCTTGAAAAATGTAAATTTAAAAATTTAACTTGTTTGAAATGAAAATGAACTTAAGGGGAGCAACATTTTTCCCGCTGGTCTGCTTAAACTTTTGACCGGTTCATTATTTATTAAAAAAAGAGGTTGCTTTTTTCCGTTTTACTTCATAACTTAATATATCATCTGCTCTGACTAGTTAACATCAGACGTGCGAATCATAAAGATTGATTTCTAATTCGTGAAAATCCGCCCATTAGATTGTTAGTTTTCTTTTCTTTTGCTACATATAGTTATTGGGATACTGTAAAAGTTAACTGTTTTATTCAAAAACTAATGAAATGCAGCAAATTTTCAGTAAAAAAATTTGTTTTAGTATCTTGTTCTACGAGTGAATCTTGATTAAAATTATGTAAAATACCAATACATTTAAAGGCAAAAAAGTTTTGTTGGAAACAATGTAAAAGTTCGATCTTTTTTCAACTTTTCATCGTAAAGATTCGTGGTATTGCATGTGATTGAAATATATCTTGTGCTTACATTTGATATTAAATGCAAACCTATTAAATAGCAAATATTAAATTATGTAATATAAAACCATTTTAATGCATTTACGAGAAGGCCGTAATTGCTACTGATTCTACTTCCGGCTGTTGATTTAAGTAAAGATTGGAATATTACGGAAATTTTTGACGTTCTTTAAAAGCCTAATTTTTTTCCTAAGGTCTCTTTCAGTTTATTTCAAATCTTTGCATTTTAGTGACAATCCCTTACAACTTTTTGTGTGGACATCGTTATTTTTTTATGGAGACTGAATTTAAAGCATTTCAAAAATTCAATAAACACTTATTTATATTCATCTGTAATTAAATTAGAAGGTTATTATATTGCTCCAAAAAATATTAATTTCCCAGCAAAAGCAAATTTGTAGTTCCAGCTCCACAAAACAGCTGGTTGCCAGCAGCTGAAGCGACGGGTCTGTGCAACACCTCCTAGAAGAAGGAAGGCCTCAGCACTGATCAATTGAGTAGTCCGATGTGACGAAGTTAACTGCGCAGTATTTTTGTGAAAATGTGCTTTTAAACAGAAATTTCTATCTGGAAAAGTTTTTGCTTTTATCATTTCATCGATAAATTTTGACTCATCAAAGTACATATTGCAACACAATGCAAACATGCACCTGCCTTATAACTCAGAAAGATTTGGAACGTAAAATTCCTTTTTCAATGAAATTATTGAAAATTGAATCACGAACCCATTAAGAATGACACCTTGTACATGAAAATCTGACTGTAAAAAGAAAAGTTATTCAGGATTCTTTCTTATTTTGTGCACACCTTTCCACAGAAAACATGTAATTTTTAAAAACATGCCATTTTTTTTCTTTATTTATTTTATTGCTTTTAATATTTGAAATAATTATGATATTCCAATGTAAATTATTGTTTCAAGGAAGGGTATAGAAGAAAAATTATTTTTAAATATATATTACTTACATCACGAATGTATGGATTACATCAGCTATTCAGATCAATACAACAGCAACATTGTTTAACACATGTAAGGAAAACAAACTGTTAGAAAATAAATTTTATAACCATCGAAAGTCAATAGATAAAATCAATGTTTACAGTGATGTTTAATATAGTGATCAGTATTATTTATCAATTGTATTTCTTTTTCTCCTTACTTTCATAATTAAATTTTTAATTGTATTCCTTTGACAAAAAAATTTGGAAAGTAACAACATTTTTCATATTAAAATATGCATCAAAACAATAATATGTGACGAAATTGAAACCAGTTCATTAATAAATGAAAAAAAGGTTGCTCAAAATTTGCTAGTTAAAAAGGCAGATAATTTTCCAATACTGTAATAACTTTATAGCTCAATAAATTTTTAAATTACTTCAACGGTGATGCGTTGTGAAATTCATATGTTTTCCTTACATAAAAAACACAAGAATTAGAGACACGTTCGACCAAATCACGATTTCTGTAACGTCTCTGTATAACTGGTATAGATATAAGACAAAATATGAAAAGTTTACATAAATATTAATAACAGTGTTTACATCTTCGAAGAATTTTTTTCCTTCAATTTTACTTATTTATTTACTTTTTTTTTAACTAAAAATTTTTGCTAAATACTCCATTACTACGCCTTCTTCAAAGTTCTTCCTTGGAATAAAAAAATGCCAAGTACTTCCTCACAGAAAAGGGCACACATTATTTTTAAACGGCTCTTACATCACACCGTAAATATTTAACAAAATGTGCACTATTATGCAATAGCTGGATTTGATTCTCAACGACTGTAAAATTACCAACTTATACAAACTTACATGTATATTTCAAAAAGTAGTTCTCACCCGTTATCAAAATGAGATAAATGAGATAGTTCATGAAAAAAAAAATACATACCAAAAGAAAATCATAGTGCACACTTTTTTCAAAATAAATAAATAAAAAATTTTAAACTTGAGAGCTTTTTCTATAATTTAAACTAAAAATTATGAGAAAAATAAATATTTAAAGGTACATTATTTTAAAAAAAAATATTTATTTCAAAAATTTTTTTAAAATCCCTTAATAAATTTATTGATACTAAAAAGAGAAACTTTTGAAAATTTAACCAGTTGAGAAAAATCCTAACAAAGTAAATATTTGTAATGGTATCAGAATCAAACCTATTGACACGAATAATTTTAAAAATGTGTAATTATCA